CCTCTGCACCCACCTCCAGAGCTGCTCGCGCTTCAGTCAGGGATTATATGAGGCTTGGTCCAGGTTGGCTCGTTGTTTCGGTGTCATCTCTGCTGTGACTCTCTCCTTAGCACCCTGAATCCATTGCTGTTCCCAGTCCACTGGCAGGGCTGCCGGGTGAACCACAGCTCCCATGTGTCTCTGTGCCCCCCTTGTCACCCCCCGGTGCCGAAGCCTGGTCCTTATGGCCGCACACGCATTCTCAATTTGTTGCGCCATTCCTGAGGCCTTCATCCTGTTGACCGCCTTTGCCACTAGCCCATCCAGGTGGATGTCTAAGGGTACTGTGTGGGTTTCCGCTTCCAGTGTGCTTGTTGGGGTTCTTTTGTATGCCCCTGCCACTATTCTGAGGCAGGAGTTCTGCACTGTGGCCAGCTTGAGGGCCAGTCCTGACTTAGCTGGACCCGTGCCCCCCTGCCCCTGTGGCTGGTGCCACGCTATTGCTCCATAGGTCAGGGCCGGCCTGATGACCATGTTATACACCATTCTCGCTTGTCGTAGTGGGAGCCCCCATGTGGATTGGGTGGTTTGGGACAGTGCTCTGACTTGAGTCTTCATCTTGCCTGCCACCGCGTCCAGGTGGCCCTTCCATCTCAGCCTAGAGTCTAACCATACACCCAATACCCTCATCACCTGTTTCGGTTGTATAGTTTGTCCTGGTAGTCTCAGCTCAGCCTGTAGGTTGAATTGGTTGCGCGCCCGTGTGAAGTGCATTAGCTCATACTTCTGGGGGGCAAAGACCGCTCCGTGCCGTGCTGCCCACTCCTCGCATGCCCGATGCATGCGCAGGAGCTCCCTGCAGTTGTCCTCAGTGGACTGGCCATAGGCCATCACGTTGACATCGTCTACAAAGGCTATGCACACCACCGGGCGCCCCGGTCTTGAGCAGATGCGCACCAGTTCCTCATTGTAGAATAGGAATAGTATAGGTGATAGGGGTGACCCCTGCGGGATGCCTGCTGGGATGTCAAAGGTGTCTGACTCCTGGCCCTCAAAGGCAATTGTGGATTTCCTGTTGGTCATGAAGGACGCAACCCATCCCACCAGGTCCCTGGGGATGCCCAGTCGCCGGAGGATGTGAACCTTCGCTCCCGCAGCACCTTTGTCCACCTGTCCCGGGTGCTGC